ACATACCGGCTTGAAGATGTGATGACAGCCATGCGAAAAATGTGGGGCGGTGAAAGCCTGACGATGAAGAACAGGGAGCACCATCGAAAGAACCCGGCCTCCAAGACTTTCCTGGCAACAGAAGACAGCACCCTGCGCCATGAAGGAGCTGAGGGGGAGGAAAGCATCTGGATGAGTTCAGCAAATGAAGGTGGAGATGAGCCCAATGAAACCGATGATTTGGAACATAGCCATGTGTGGTTTGAAGAAGCCACTGAAGCTTTTTTGGAAGACCCTTGCGATGAAACTGTTTTTGCCAATTTCCAGGAAGTGAAGAAACAATTTTACAAAGATGCGCGGAAAGCCAACGACAAAAACCGTGTCTCTCGTGGCTTTTACCCCGCAGACAAGAAAGGAAAAGGAGAAGGAAAAGGGAAACACACAGGCAGTTCTAAAGGCAAGTTCGCTGGCCGCTGCATGCGCTGTGGCAAAGTGGGCCACAAAGCCATGAACTGCAAGCAAGCGATCGCAGGATCTTCAAGCTCGACTGGCGCCAGCCTCGACTCAGGACGTGTGGGCTTTGTTTTCACTGCCGAACCAACTGAGGAGCCTCCAAAAAAAACAGAAGAGAGCTGCGACCCTATCTTTTCGGTGATCCAGGAGTGTCAGACCCCCAAAGCCATTTTGGATTGTGGGGTCAGTGAGTCGATCATTGGCGCACACACCTTGCAGGCACTTTGTGACATCTATGAGAAGCACGAGATGGACCCAGAACAGGAAGCCTCAGTTGATCGCAGCCAACGAAGGACCTTCATCTTCGGCAAAAATGAGACCTCCAAGGCTTTAGGTTTTGCTATGGTCACAATCGGGATCGGGGGACAGAATGTCATAATCCCCATCCACGTTGTCGAGGGACCAACACCGATGCTTCTTAGCTCACGCTGGTTAGAGGACCTCATTGATTTCAAGACTGGACAGGCCCAGTTTCGCTGCCTTGGCGACCAGGTCGTCAACCTGGAACGTGCTTCCACCAATCACCTGATGCTCAAGGTTGATGACTTTCAAGACGGCAACCGGCTGGTGCACAGCCCTGGCGCGTTCTTGGCCAAAGCTGCAAGTCCTTAGGGGCCGCACCACCAAGTCGTCGAGCCGGACGACTACTTGAGTGGACCGTTACAATGCCAACCGTCTGATCCGGTAGTGAATTCAGCTGCATGTTTCATTGCGAGTGGCCCGCCATCAATAGCGAATCCGTCTTCGGGCGACTGTTGTGAGAAGAACTTTCCGAGGAAACAACAGTTGTGGTTCTCGGAAATGGCCTCTCAGAAAGAAGAAGGAGTGGTAGGTAGCTTTCGAAGTTTCACCCAACAGGTTGATCTAGTTGAACTTTGTGCCCCTTGGGATTCCCCTCTTTTTCAAGCGGTTGAGGATTTGGGTGGCATAGTTGTTCGCTTAGGACCCCACAATGGATATCTCGACGCGATTCGGATGCACTAAGGCCATGCGGATGCATGATCTTCTCTTGAAACAACAGCATGGTAGGAGAATTCTGAAACACTGTCACCAGCTGTGCGCGTTGCAAGTGCAAGAGCTCGGGGGTGATGCGGGAGGTGAGCAAAAACTTTTTTTCCCGAAAGCATTGCGAAGGGTTCTTCCGGAAAATCCCTTGAACACTGACACTTCGACACTTACACTTAGACACTGACACTTCCACCACATTCGCAGTACATACACTGACACTTCGACATGGACACTTACACATACACACTGACACTCGGCAAGCACGCAGTGTAAGTATACAAGTGATGGGCACGCAAGCATGCTTTGAGCATGCAAGCATGCAATGAGTAGGCAAGTGTGAGTATGGAAAACTAGCACGGGAGATGTCCTAATGAAAAAACATTTCCCCACTTTATAGATTCTCTCTTAAAGGCGGAGGGCGGGACGAACAGCGTCAACCGAAAGTGCAACCCTCTGCGGAGATCGTGCGTGTCGAGTGCGCGAAATGCAGGC